AGCTCCGCCTCCAAAAACAATAGGACACACGCCGACGCTATAAGGCATTGAAATTGAGAGGTGATAAAATCTATCACTTAACCGGCCATCGTATTTAAAGTAACGCTGTGCACGAGTTGCAATAAACGAATTTTTAGCATGTCATCTGTGCAAGAAATGCAGCGCGTTGATCGGGAGCTCTTTTCGCTTTGACATCTTACTCCAAACAGGATTCTAACAACTGAATACTCGAACCTGGGCCTTTTAAATGTTTTCATCAATTAAAACGGTTCCAATTTTGAATAATTATCTCACACATGCAATGGACAACAATGCTCACTCAGGCGTAAGACGCGCCGCGTGCCTTTGCTTTTTTGTTCGGCTCTGGATTTCAAATAGAAATGTCATTTATTTTCCCCTTCATCTTTCGAATAGATAAAGACCTGTGTTGCCTTTTAAGTCCTCGATCAACGACAGACAACGTAAACCGATCGAGTAAAAGACTACGTCTGATGAACTGCTTTGACCGATCGAGTAAAAGAGGACAACGACAAAGTAGAAGAAACTTTTTTTCGCACCGTTCTTTCCATTTGGCAACGTTTTGGAAGAAGAATTTTTTGTGGGAGAACTTTTGGTTCCCGCGCTCAAACCATTTCGAGTGTGACATGTCGCTGCACACGACTTTGTTGACAAAAGTCTTTGTGAAGAGCGCAGGCCGCCTTGAAATTAGAGCGCTTTTGTTAGCCTATTACACCTTGGAATTTACTTCACACATTAGACCGCTTGATTGACAGCCGCCGATTCATTGACAAGAGCAGTCGGAATTCCGACAGCTAATATTTGTAATTATTATATGGCGAAGAGTGTTTTAGTGGGAACTAAACGACTCGTAGATTCCATACGCCACTTTATCCGGGACCCGAGTGGCGTATTTTCCGTATGTCACCTTTGTGACTGTCGTATCGTTCAATGACGTCACGATTCCTACTTTTTGCTTTTGTTGAATTGGTTTCTCCATATAATAAAAAGAACATTACACGTTGGCTCGAAGATATGAATTTTATGGTCTTGCCACGAGAACATAAAATTCATATCTTTTCCCCACCGTGTAATATCCTCCATTTATTATTCCACGCATTGAAAAACTGAGCACTGCAAGTATATGTCGCGAAAGACAATAGAATTCTGCGCG